ATGGCTGCTGCGGCCAGCATGCTGCTGCCGGCGCACCACGCTGATCCGATAGCAGGAGCCAGGTACTTCTCCTGGTCTCCCATGGGGTGCAGGGCCCAAGCACTTGGGCCATCCTCCACTGCACTCCCTGGCCACAGCAGAGAGCTGGCCTGGAAGAGGGGCAACTGGGACAGAATCCAGTACCCCAACCGGGAGTGGAACCCGGTGTGCCGGCGCCGCAAGGCGGAGGATTAGTTAAAAACAAACAAAAACCTAGCAATCCCATGTTATCAAAAAAACCCCTCCTGATAATTAAATGAGAAATGAGGATTGTGAACCACTGCTCTACTTGTTCTGGCTCTTGCCCAAGCCTTCAGCCTCATCTACACCACCCTTCTGCCCCTAGGGTCATCATACCCCAGCCTTCTTTTTGTGTATTGAACAATACCTACCTCAAGACCTGGCATTCTCTGTTTCCTCAGCCTACAACGTGTTACCTTATGTTTCCACAGAATCAATTCTTGTTCTTCTGGTCTCAATGCAAATGTCACTTCTTTCAGAATTTCACTTCATTACCCCATTCTAAAGTAGTGCTCCTTATATCATTTCCTTTCTAATATTCACTTCAATTTGAGCTGTTTGCTGATTAATTTGCTTATTTACTGATTAATTACTTATTTACTGGCTCCTCATTACACTGCAAAAGTAGTGCTCTTGTCTCATTTTCTCAATATTATATACTCAGGACTTCAAATTGTATCCAGCACATAAATAGTAAATATTTGTTTAATAAATTATTCTTGACTTCCATTGAGATAATTACATAGCATCATTGTAATGAGCAATTCTTATGGTCTATTGACAAAACTATCATAGTCTTAGAGGCAAACTGCTTTTTCTGTTTCCTCAAACCCCTTTGCACAGTTTCTGTTAGCTATTTGTTACAGAGGTTAAAAAGAAGCAGCACTGCAGGTAAGTATCCATTGTTATCATTGTATCCTGTGGCCTCTGCTTCATCCAGTTTCCCTTTACATTTGCTTTTCTTCCACTGGTTACCTTCCCTCTGATGATTTCTTCAGTTTGAAGATTTCCTAAACTCTTCTTTCTAGTGATCATTACAAAGAAGAAAGATCATGAGACTTAAAGTCAGATGCTGAAGTTGGAATTCTGGCATGGCAACTTACAAAGGCAAATCACCTAACTACTCCAATTCACTGAGCTCGGCTCACCTTGTTAACAAAGTGAGGATACAAGTAGTTCCCATTTCAAAAAAATTTGTAGAAGTGAAATGAGAAATTAGAGGTGAAATCACCTTGTATCTTGTGGGGCTCAGCAAGTAGATTTCAAAAAGAATCCATCATTCTAAATGCCACGTGGGTTTGTGTTCCCTTTCTGTCCCTCTCGCCACTCTAGAAAGGGAGAGCCAAGGACATCCTTCTCAATCTCCTGGTCTCCTTCCTTTCCGCTTCTGGGCCGTTAGCATACTGAGGCACCCACAGACATTATCCTTCTTCCCTTTTGGGAACCTGGAAGCTCCTTTGCTTGCATTTCCTAACTACCCCACATGGTTCTCAAATTCCTCCAGAGCTTCTGCTTGCTTCTTCATAGTTCACAGTTTATGATTGGTGCTGTGGCTTAGAGGTGACTGAAGCTTTTAGTGACAGGATCACCTGAATGGATGAATGGTTGGGATTCTGGTAAAACAGCTTCATATGTTCTCCTCAGCTCCCTGAGATTCAACTTTCTCATTTCTTACCTTAGTTTCTGTCCCTATGAAATGAGGCTAACAGTAGTATCTACCCTCTCAGTTATGCAAACTCAGTCTGATAATATAAATAAGTACAGGCTTATGATCTGTATTTGGAATGTGGTACTTATTACTTGTGTCAGTAAAGCTGTGGCACTCAGATATTTTCAACCTGTAGACCCTGACAAAAGGGATCAAATTCTAAATTTAATCTCTCTGCTCTCATTTCCCAGAAGAGTTTAGTATTCAATGTAAAAACAAAGCAATATTGACTATAAACTTAGAAACATGAAAATATCTCCTTGGTCTGGTACCCAGACTCCATTCAAAGATATTCAGAGACCCCAACAGTAGAGAAGGCCAAGGGGATCTTAGCCCATCACAACATGCCTCCTGGTGCAGAGCACACTGCTGCCTTCCCAAGGAGCCAGTCCCTAGAATGCACCATTTGTCAACTTTAGCCAAACACAAGTGCATTCTATGGATGCTGGGTGGCATTGTCATGGTTTCTTTCTAGTTCGATCCATAGAAGTTGCCCATTGAAGGTCTTTAGCCATCCTTGCAGAAACTCCATCTGAATCAAAACATGGCAACTCAATAACAAGTCCTAAGTCCCCAACAACTCATATTCTCCTTGATTAAAAGATTTATTTAAGGCCATTTAGCTGAGTTATAAACTCTTGTAGCCTAGTGAAGTGACTGTGTAACCTGAATTGTGAGGGTAGTGTTTAAGTGTTCTTGATGACATTGAGGTAGGTCCCACCCATTTTTCATCTATCCTTTCACCTGCAGTTACCTAGAACCTGCCACCTGTGGGCGAACTTGGTATGAAACACAATGGAGGATATAAAGTGTACAAAATAGAGTCTATGAAGGTCAATTAATTATAATCATTATGGAAGATAAAGCTTGTGTACAGGAAATTTTTAAGGTGGCGACAATCCTTGTATCATAAATCAGGAGTCTTGGGTTCTAAATCCAAACTTGCCACTCCTACTCTTAGCCACCTCTACCTTTATCACCAATTCCTCACCTCCTCTGAAGCTGTGAGCACTACTATTCATCTCTAACCTCAAGATCCTTTCAGTTCTTTGTCACTTATTTCCACTGCACCTGCTTTTCTATGATCATTGAGCTCACTACCCTAATACCTTTTGGTTTCCTATCACTCTATCTGTATCATCAATTCATAACACACTTCTATTTTTTCTCTAGTTCCATCTCAACCCTTATCTTGCTAGTATCCTCAACTTCCTTTCACCATTGTCCTCACTTGATCAGCAACATCCCATCCATGAGCCAATAAGCTGTTCATCTTATCTATTCCAGAAGTGCTAGTATTTCTAAAATGAAACAAAAAGTACATGCTTTGCTGATCAATAGTTCAAAATCATCATCTCCTGCCTTAGAAAAGCTTTCAACACTTCTAGGCAGCTTCAGCCGTGGAAGACAATTTGGGATACTGGTTTAACACGAAGGCTCTTGGATTCAGAAGACCTGGGTTCAAATCCCAGCTTACCCAGGCTACTTATCCAAATTAAACCTCTCTGAGTTTCATTTTCCTCCTCCATTAGGTTGAGCAGTGATAATATTTACTCTGTGGGATTATTTGGGAATGAAATGAACACGTGGGAATGTTTAACAAAGCACCAAGCATGGTGTGAGAGGTCAGTGAATGTTTGGTGGTATGAATGCATTCCCTTGTCAGCATCCTGCTTTATTCCCCACTGTGATTGTTCTTCTGTCTCCCGTACTCCCAGCTGCACCTCCCTCAACAGCCCTAAGACAATCTCACCTCCTCCTCCTTGCAGAAGCTATCAACAAGAACTTTAACTAGCACCGCTCCCCATACCCTTGTCCTGCTTCCACACCTCATCTTCCAACTCTCCTGGATGAGCAGACCTAGGAGGAGGATGTTCTAGATTTTCACCTCTTTTCTCTTCCATCTTCTCCCTCACTGACCCTTGCTTACCAACATTTTCTTTATTTTATTTTAAAATTTTCATTGATTTCTGAGACAGAAGTCTCATTTACTGGTTCACTTCCCAGAATGCCTGCAATGGCTGGCTCTAGGCTTAGGCAAGTAGCAGGAAATGGAAATGCAATCAGGTCTCCCACATGAGAGCAGGTACCCAAATACTTGAGTCATTGTTGCTGCCTTCCAGGGTCTGCATTAGCAGGAATCTGGAGTCAGGAGCCAGAGTTAGGAATTGAACCCAGACCCTCCAATGTGGGACATCTTAACTTCAGGCTAAAATACCTGTTCCCTTGTTCCTGTATTTTAAAACTCACCCTTCACTTGGTCTTTGCTGTCTGAATGTCAATGTCACTTATTTATTCTTCTTGTCCAGTAACTCTGGTTAGGGTGCTGTCCATCCCTCACCAAAGAAAATGAAGGAGGGTTTGGGGGCTCACAGGACTTGTCAAGATATCTCTGTTCCAGGTTCAGCTTTCCTCAGAACCCTCCTGGACGTAGTGCCTCAGGGGCAGCTAGCACAGTGAGAGAAGGGCTGTGACACAGACTCGACCACTGGGGTCCTCCTCACGGAGCTCCGCCACTGCTGCAGAACCGCTGCCTTCCGTCTGAGTCAGCTTCACAGGAGGATAGGTGCCTGTGTGTCTGCTCACAGGCTCTAGCACAGTGCTCAGTGCGTAGCCCAGCGACCACCTGACTCTAGATGTTGGATGTTCCTACCCCCAGAAGACTCCTTCCTACCTGTGATGGTCCGTACTACCAGAAATGGTGATCTTGCTTCTGCCTGCGACACCAAAGTGTCCGCCCATGTTTGAACTGTGTGGATGTGAATCACATTGTGAATGACCTAGAGGTATCAGTTGATTGTCTAGGATACTGTTGCTCCCCCACTTGCGGAGGAACGACGCCGTCCCGGGTTAGCTGCCGACCCCCCGCCTCCGCGGAGGGGTGGCACCCCCGCCGCTTTCCCCGCTTCCGCAGAGGAGCAGCACACCGCTGGCCGGCTCTCTTAGGGGTTGCTCAGATGTTCCCAGTGCATGTTGTCTCTCTCCTCCTTTATAGTCCTCTTCCACCAATCCCAACTCTGCTGCCCACACGCTGAGCATGCTGCTCTCCTCCAATCAGGAGCAGGATCAGCTCCTGCAGCTCGTCAGTCGAATTGGTGAGGCAGCTGTGTAGAAGTTGTTTACTGTCTCTCAGCGCCATATTGCGGGAGATCAGATGCATAGAATTAGTCTTAGCAGTTCCAGTAATTTAGTCTAGTCTCGGTTGCTCCCCAGAGATACAGACACTGAGACAGAGGATCTCACGAGGTTTATTAGGGGAAATTTTAGGAAAAATAAGAGAGGGAGGAGGCAGCAAGGAGCAGGGAAACCATTCAGGAGCGAATACTCTTCGATGTGTATCATCACCACAGCATGCTTAGGATGGCTCAGGCTCCTCTTTGACTTTCAAAAGGTTTGTCCTGGAAGGCAAGATTTAAGACTATTTCCATAAGACTTGATTTTCTTATCCACACTATGTCTCCTCTCATCGGTCTGGGCTATGAGCGAGTACTTCCATGTGTGACTGTTTCTGTGTCTCTAGGTCATGAAACATCACAGTCTGCACATCTCAGGCAGATCTGAGTTTCCTGTGAGCCCATCCTCATCACTGCCTCACCTTGTCATGTCTGAATTTGAATAACAGAGAGGAGACTCTGCCTCATCTTTGCAAACAGGGTTGCAAGTCATGTCTTGGCCTGAGCTATTGCACCCTTAGATTTGTTTACTGTACTCCAGTGAACATCTATTGATGATCTTACGAGAGGAGAGTTTTCATGTGACGTGGGAAGGGGAGCGCCCAGTATGTGCAGACATTTGCCAGGTACTTTTGCCATGGGCTTATTTCTTCCTCCTGACAGTGTCCTCAGAAACCAACAGGATCCCCGTGTCACAGATGACTGAGTGGGGCTCAGAGGAGGCCCCACAAAGCATGGGCATCAGGGCCTGAGGCAGCAGAGCCACAGGGAGAGCCCCCATGGTGCCTGATGTGGAGCTGAGAGCAAGGCTACAGGAGGCTGGGATGTGGTGAGAGGTGCCCAGCTGAGCAGCACAGAGTCAGCGTCAGCTCCCCCTGGAGCCTGCTCATCGCAATTGGAGGGAGCTGCCCACTGCCCCAGACCCAGCTACACAGTCAGTGTCTTTGGGGCATCATCAAGCAAAGTCTACTCACAGGACCAAGGTCAATTTCCTGGACCTCCAGAGCATGTGTCCTCACTGACCCATAACTTTGACACCCCCACAGGAATCCCTTGTCTTTCCTGCAGATTAGGGGTGAAGGGCTTTAGGGCAGCAAAAACCCCGATATTTCTGGCCTCCATAAGCCACCTCTTTCCTTATGTAAACACACCTCTGCTGCCCAGTGCACAGCAGAGAGGTGATACTGCCAATTGTGTGTCCTCAGAAACTGGAGCAATGTTCCAAGGTCCTCAGACAACCTCACCCTTAAGTTGTAACACCCTGCAGTACCATCTGGGACATTTTTCTTTGTATATCAAAAATGAGAGATAAGATGAGGACACTTTCCAGGTCAGTTCATTGTGTGCACTGACTGAGGCTACTGGTGTAGAGAGTAATAGCATGGGAACAGTGTGATGAGGGGCCACTTGTGGGGTAGGGCATACAGAGAAATTTGGGAAAAGTAGTGGTCCTCTGCAGCCTCCCGCCGAAGTTAATATTTGAAATGTATTACTATGATGGACAATGGCACCAACACTCATCCCAATAAAAGCTGATCCACAATAAAGTAAGTGACAGTCCCAGGCACCTTTCCCCTCCACCAGATTTAGAGCAACTCGTGACACACAACTTGACTCTCCCCTGGGTCCTGACAGCTTGGGGCAGGAAGGGAAGTCACAGGTATAGACTGCTGTCCTCACATGTCACTATGTCTGCAGATGTCAGAAGACACAGCCTATCTTGCAGGAGATGCAGAACCAAACCAGATTAATAAACACACGGATGCTAAACGGAGGACCTGTATATCCAGACCACTCCCGAGCCTACCTGCCTACCACATCCAAAGCTCATTACTTGCACAGTAAGAACAGATACTGAGAAGAGAGGAATGTTCACCCTCCACACATGATCACAGACAGTCATAGAATCGAGGGCCACCAGCCTCCTTGTCCCCTCTGCTTCTCTCCTTAGCTAAGGGTCTCAGTGTTGCCACCCCTGGACACCAGAATCTCTTGGGAGGGGACGTGGATTCCTGATGTTCTGCAGGGAAACTGGGAATGTGTTTTGACAGAAACTGTTACCTAGAAGTTAGGTACACAGAGGTATAATACTTATCATAATTCACAGGCAATACTGAATTTAAAGTCCAATGAGAGTTTCCAACTAACTAAATAAGAACATTAAAACAAGTTTGTTTTGATTTCAAACTGTAAACGGCCTGTGGTGTCTGAACAGAGGACTCATCCACTGTAATAACTACACAGGCCACAAGAGAACCTGTTCATGGGAACATAATTCAGGACTTTCTTGGAAATTGGCCCTGGAGATAATTACTGTCACACTTCACTACCACCCTACAAGTGTACATTTCTATTACAAATATTTGATCCCTGCTAATGCAGAATATTTTATGGAGGGCATCACTGAAGGATTTCTGCATAGCATATTTTCCAAGAGAAATAAGATGGTGATTTGCTTTTTCCAAGAGTGTTCAAAATTGCACAAAGCACACAAAATAAACTCTTCCTCTAGGACACCCACATCCCATATCACAGGGCCATTTTGAGTTCTAGCACATCCTTTTCTGATAAGCTTTCAGCTAAAGCACCTGGGAAGGCAGGAAATGATCACCCAAATACTTAGGTTCCTGAAACCCATGCAGGAGACCTGGATAGAATTCCTGGCTCCTGGCTTCTGCCTGGCCCAACCTCAACTGTTATGGGCATTAAGGGTAAACAAACAGATCAAGCTCGCTCGCTCACTCTGTCTCTCTCTCTCTCCTCTCTCTGTCTCTGTGTATGTGTTTGCCCCTCTGTCACTCTGCCTTTCAAATAAATCTTTTTTTAAGATTTATTTTATTTGAAATGCAGAGTCGGGGAGAGAGAGAGAGAGAGAGAGAGAGAGATCATCCATCCTCTGACTCACTCCCCAGATGGCTGCAACAGGCTGGGCTGGGCCAGGTGGAAGCCAGGAGCTTCTTCTGGGTCTCCCATGTGGGTGCAGGGGCCCAAGCACTTGGGCAATACTCTGCTGCTTTCTCAGGCACCTCAGCAGGAAGCTGGGTTGGAAGTGGAGCAGCCTGGACTAGACCCAGTGCCCATATGGGATGTTGGCATTGCAGGCAATGGCCCAACCGACTATGCCATAATGCCGGCTCCTCTAATACATCTTTTAAAAAAATCACCAGTGGGAGTAGAGGAGAATCCACATCCAGTGCAGGGACCTTTCCCTGGGGTCCAGCCCAAAGAACCACCTTGCTAGGGCACCTGAGGAAAAGTGTCCTACCACCTTCTGGGACAATGCTTTCTCTTTAGTTAGTGCACTGGACTGTTTTCAGAATATGGAACAGTCACTTCTGGAATAAGGGGAGGATGTGGATTCTACAGTGGAAATGAAGCTGCTCCCCCCAACCAGCTGCTCCTACCTCTCCCTGGAGTGCTCCCCCAGATCATTCGTCCTGGTGCTGGCATCCACCTCCAATATTCCTCTGCCATCCTCTGCATTTCCATTATTTCCAATCTTGAACACAGAAAACAAGTGGACTTCAATACCACCTTCTCTACTAGACACTCAACAGCTTAATCTTAAGCCTTCAGAAACACCCGTAAAAATGCCAACCCCATTCGGCACCTGTGATGCAAGTAGACCAGCTCCTTCCTCCTTTTCATCACCTCCTGCTCAAAAGCACAGGCACTGAGCTGTGGGAGGAAAACGCATGCCTGTTTAGCTGTGGAAGACTGGGCACAAAAGAAGGCAGCAAAGAAAAAGTCTTTAAAAAGTCTTACCCTGTTTTCCCGATCCTTCTGGGCGTAAAAGGCTATCTGAAAAAGTCCACACATCCGCAGCTAAGTCCAGGGGTTCTAAGTAGTACTGTAATTATCGGCATAGGGGCTGAGGATTCTGCAATGATTGGCAGAATGCAGATTACCTGGTTTCTGAACATAGACCTTTGTTGCTCCCTCCGTGCCTGCAGTTCTTGTATTTTTCTCCTGTGATTGAGATTTACTGTCATCAGATGAGGAACATTTTTTGATGATGATTTTATTCAGTGTACCCAAGTGGTCATTATCTTCACACATGTGCACAAAACATGCACACAGATCAAACACCTTATATGTACCATGATAATAAAGGCACAGTGGAATGCAAACTGCTGCTTTACTGTAGTATATAAAGCCTGCAGGGTTCTGAGTTAGCACAATCTCCTTACCCTGCTTTATTCTACTTGAGTATCTTTTCTCACAAAGCTCTATTCTCCTCTTACTGATGTGCTTCCACATTCCCCAGGGTGGCAACAACTGGGTTTACAAAATGCTACAGTCTCTTCTATGGCTGTGATCTCTCCTATATCAAACTGCTTTCCTAAGGATTATCATAACTGCCACCACCCCACAAACATTCACACGAGCCCAGCCTCCCACACTGTTAGGGATCAGCAACTGTTCAGAAACTTGACATTTTCTCATCATTAGTAAAATTTAATTTGCTGTGTTTTCCCTGCTGTGAGCTTTTTTTTTCCCCTCTGGGTATGTCCTCAGACCGTTTGTTCATATTTCTGTGTTAATCATGTCTATACACTAAATAGAGTTAAAAACAAAATCCAACAAGGGTTTCTGGAGTAGTTGGTATTCAATCTCAGAACTCACTTGTATTTTTTTAACTCCTCTTCAGCCTGTTTCAGGTTTTCCTCTTTCTCTAACAGCTTCCTCTCGCTCTCCATCTGCTCCTGTTGCCGCCTTGCCAGCTCCCTACAGTGGGAAAGAAATGCACCTCACCCAGAAGCCCATGTGAAACTCTGCCTTTCTGACCACCCAGTAGTCTAATGGCTTTGAATGCAAAATTCCTTCCCAGCCTTCTGTAATAATGCACACACCCACAAACACATTCTGAGAACAGAATTAAAGCTGTCCATTGAGGGCCAGAGGAAAATCAGACTCTGGACCACTGGCAAGTCCTCTGCAATTTCAAGCTCCTCCTTGTGGTGGAATGAGAAGGCCGTGCCAAGGTGGCCACTGGCAAGTGAGCATCAGTTACTCAGGAATGGCTTTGGACCTACCTGGCAAAGGAGGCTGCCTGGCAAAAGGCTGTGATTGGATGGCTTCAGACCCATCTGGCAAAGGAGCCTGCCTGACAATGGGCTGTGATTGGTTAGGGTATAAACTGCCCCTTGATCAGATTGGCTGCCTCAGCTATATAAGCTGCAGTGCCAACTGAAATAAACGAGTCTGCCGGCTGCTCGCCTCTGGCCCGCTTTCACTGGACTCCTGGGGTCTGTGTGGTGACTCTGTGCCTCTTGCCCCCATCACGCTCCTACTCTCAGAACGAATCCACAGCAACATCTGGCGCCCAACATGACTGAGAAACAGTGTGTCGGACTCGGTGAGGTCCCCCCTTGATTTTGACAAGTAGACTCCTTGGTGTTCTGTGTGCTGTTTGGTTCTGTGAGGGTGAGCACAGAATGTCCTCCTACGCCCCTTTCCTTGTCCTTGTCCTCGGTCTAAGTGACCCCAGGTTAGGCACACATTGCCCAGAAGCGTAACACCATTTCTCGGCTCCTCCTTTTACTTTCAGTTTGCCAGGCGAATTCACGTAAGGGACAGATCATCCCAGAATTCGGAACCAAGTCATCTTCCCCCACTTGAGAGAGGTGACATTCCGGAGACACCGTGTGGGCATACGGCCTTGACCTAACGAATCAAGGAAGTCCCCCACTAAGCACAGGACATACTTACAATCTGATACATCACTGTTCATCTAACATAGGGAACCCCCTGCATAATGCCATCAGCCAGTGAGATGCTAGGAATTTGTTTTGTTATGGCAGCAGTGCTGTGGGTGTCTTGTCTTTGGCTAGAGTTGGCATGGTGTGCCTCTCTTAAGTGCTCAGACATGGGAAAGATACCCCCCACCCTCAGAAGCCCACACAGATTACCAAACATAATGAATCTGTGAGTGATAGAGCCTGTCACTCCAGGCCTCTGCCTCACAAGTGACAGTTGATGAAAATGACATGACAGCAGACAACGCAACAATGCCTAGTCAGCAATCCCCCAAATACCCGTGGGATGAATTTAGACGACCTCGAGGCAATAACCCATGTGAGGTCATCCCTTCTGCACTCAGTGAGGATCCCCACATTTGTGGCAGTCCTTGGGCACCCCAGGCTCTCAGGGCAGCTGCTAGGCCCCATCCCACCTGCATGTTTGCCTTTAATCTTGAAGTGGATGCAGAATTCAGGCTTTGGATTCCAACACCTGTAGAAAGGCTTTTGCTAACCAAGGGCCAAGGATATGCTTGTGCCTTCCCAGAGAACGCAGGACAGCCCATTTGGGTACCAGCTAGAAACATCAAGCCTGCAACTGACTGTCAGCCAGAATCAAGTGAACAAGACTGAGAGTCCACCTTGTTAGCAGACACACCTGCTACCGATTGTCAAGCTGCTGCCTTATCCTACCCTGAGAAAGTGCCCATAGCCACATCCATTACTGCTTTATACCCCACTAGCTCTGGCCAGCCACTCAGATGGTCCACAGCCTGTGTGCAGTCACGCCATTCCTGATAACCATTGTTCCTCATTCCTACCCCCATCTGAGCAAGCTCTCCTGTGGTCTCCCATTTTGAGGGCTTGTTAGTGAAAGATGGGTAAGATCCCCTGGGGGAGAACCTAAGACAGGCACAGCCATGTACAGAGACCACATGGAAATGGGGTCAACAATGGTATGGCCAAGAATCATGCCTCCTGTTGCTCAAAAATAAACAAGTCTGCAGGCTGCTCGCCTCTGGCCTGCTTTCACCTGACTCCTATGTATGTAAAAATATATACATAGCACCTATGGAATGATGCCCTGGTCAGTCATGACAGCCAGGACTAGAACTGGAGCCCATATGAGATGCCGGTGCCACAGGCAGAGGATTAACCTGTTGTGCCACAGTGCTGCCCCCAAGAAAATGCTCATTTTCTTTCCAGGTGGAAAACCAGACCAATTCATCCCAATTCATTCCATTGTTTATAAGACAGGGGATCCATACTTGTCTGTCTCCTCCCATGCGAGACTGATTCTCAGTCTCAGGTGGGTGCCCTGACATAGACAATCAGACCTGCAGAGATCCTTCCGGGGCCACTAGTGACTTGTGGACATGTCTAAATACAGGTGTGGCACCCCTGCCACCTACTGCTTCAAGTTTAGAGAAGGAAAAAGCAAATCATAGTACTACCAACACTGACTGAATTTGAAAATGTTGTGAACTGCCACCTAGTCAGGGTGTTAGCTCCTGTAAACCTGGAGCCAACAGCTGGGAAGCCCTCAACCTCAGTGTCATCTACTCTCACAAGGTGGAATTCACTGATGGTGTAGGCTGCAAATCCTGGGGTCTGGAAAGTTACACTTGCTGTGCTGCCCTTGAACTGCTTTGTCCATGGTTTTGAGTTAAAAAAATTCTCAATTTGATCTCTGTTCTAATAGGGATTACCCACAACATTTAAAGAGCCATTGGAAGGAAATAGGCACAAAACAATACAGAAAGTTTCTGTATTTATTTTTCTGGCCATCCATGCAAGGCTTCAGCAAATGATTTCTGGAGAGGCCCAAATGCAGTGAGGTATTGAAGACACAGTGGAGCAAGGCACTGTCCCACCCTAAGAGAGCTCACATTTCAGTGCAAACAAGATACCACTGAAGATATAACAACCCCTGCCTCAGCCTTGAGACGGACTAAGACAAAACCTGGATCATAAGGAAAAGCTCTGCTTTGACAGTTACAGCTGCCTACATTGGTGGACACACTTGTTCACACAACAGTAGTTGTATCTAAGAACATGTGAGCATCTTACCTTGTTAGGGTCATCTTTCTTTGTACATGGTTTTCATAAAGACTATTCAAAGTCATATTCCGTAGTTTGTAGTCAGCGTCCTTTTCTGCCAATGCAGAGCTCAATGTATGACAGTTTTCTTCCAGGTTCTTTTTATCTTCTGCAAAAGATAAAACAGTGTTCTTTGTGTATGTGCACTTGGACCTAAGAACATGGCTGGGGCAAGGACCCTGGGGCAGTAAGCCATTCTTCACCTTCCCAGTGAAAACTGATCTTTGCTCTATTGGGCTTTTTTTTCCCAACAATGTACCTTCCAGTTCACATATGCTGGACCTCAGGGCTTCCCACTTGGCTTCCTTGGCTTCATCATGATACTCTGTAGACTTTAAGACAAATGTCAGAAGAGACATTCAAGAAATAATGATGGCACAACTTTGTGAACATTTAACACTACTCAATTTTTCCCTTAAAAATAGTTAGCTTCTGCCTGGTCTCCCAGACATTGTGGTCATTTGGAGAGTGAACCAGTAGATGAAAGATCTATCTTTCTCTCTCTCTCTGTAACTCTGCCTTTCAAAGAAATAATAAATAAAGCTTTTTAAACGAAATAGTTAAGATGGCTAATTTTGTGTTATATATTTTACTAAATTAAAGTTTTTAAGTATCTGAAAAATAAGTAATTACAATTCAGTTCTCTGATTTATATCATCTATAGGAGTAACTTTGTTATCTGCTCCCTCTTGATCTTCAACTGAGCATTTTCTTTGTCTACTTTATCATCTTCAAACTTTAGTTTTACTTTCCTGACCTGGCATCATTAGTGGTAATTTGAACCTAGTACAGGAAATTCTCACTAATGACAATTCCCAAAGCAAAATTCCATATAGAGATCATACAATTTTAATCTTTTTTTTTTTAATTTGAAAGGTAGAGTTATAGACAGAGAGAGAGAGAGAGAGAAAGGTCTTCCATCTGCTGGTTCACTCCCCAAGTGGCCACAATGGCCAGAGTGGGGCAATCTGAAGGCAGGAGCCAGGAGGGCCATCTTCTACTGCTTTCCCAGGCCTTAGCAGAGAGCTGGATTAGAAGAAGAGCGTCCAGGACTAGAACTGGAGCCCATGTGGGATGCTGGTGCCACAGGCGGAAGATTAACCTGTTGTGCCACAGTGTTGCCCCCAATTTTAATCTTAAAAGAAATGAAATATTTGTTCTACATCAAAGCTAAGATGTACAATGGAAATCCTGTAGCAAGTATGGGTAGTTTCTAACAATCCTGAGCATAAAATAACATTGGTATAACATCTTTCAGTTTCTCTGAAGTTTTCTTTTTCTACTATCTGCACTGTAATTTCCATAGAAACTCTGAGTGATAAACTAAAAAGATGAAAGTCAACCAGGGGGCCGGTGCTGTGGCATAATGGGTTGGGCCTCTGCCTGCGGCACCAACATGCCATATAGGTGCTGGTTCAAGCCCCAGCTGCTCCATTTCCGATCCAGCTCCCTGCTAATGACCTGGGAAAGCAGTGGAAAATGGCCCCAGTATTTGGGCCCCTACATGCATGTGGGAGACCCAGAGGAAGCTCCTGGCTTCAGCTTGGCCCAGCCCCCGCCTTTGTGGCCATTTGGGGAGTAAACCAGCAGATGGAAGAACTCTGTCTCTGTCTCTCCCTCTCTCAGTCTATAGCTCTGCCTCTCAAATAAATAAATAAATTTAATAAGTCATTGAAGGATTTACACAACATTGAACGTTGCACAGAAGTTTCAGCCCCTAGACTCTCACACTTGTACTATCATGAACAGCAAGGAAAAATCTGCATCTCAATTCACCGAATAAACTGAAAAGCTCAGAAGCTAAATAATGGTAAAAATGTAACAGCTAAATTCTTACCAAGTCATGCTTCTTGGCATTCAGATCTGTTCCAGGTGGAAGCTTAGCATATGGACTTTGAATAAGGTCATTCACTAGATTGTTCGTGTCTTCAACTTTTCTGTCATTATCCTTCAACAAAACATCAAAAAAGAACTCATTATCAGTTGTTATGGGAAAATGTATCCAGGAAGAGCAGACAGAAAATCATAGGTATTCCTTTTGCTTCCCAGCCACATTAGGAAACAGTGATTTCCATACCCTTGTCACCCAATGCTAAGGGTGGGCAAATGGAAAAGCAATGAGTTCACCAAGTATTTAACATTCAGTTCTTCTGGTTGGAGGAAACATATTTGTGAGTTGTAATTTTATCATTGATCATATGTAGTTGTCTTGCTAACACAATACAATTAGTAATAAATGTAATATAATGTGTATTTACAAGGGTAATTTCCATTTCCAGCATTAACTGTGCTCATATTGGTGATCTAGAAGTCAGAAAATTGCTGGACCCTTGACTTCTGGTCTGGGTTGTAAGGAGCTTGGAGACTATCATGCCTGTCTTTGTAATAAGGAAAACAATGAAGTAACTAAAAATCAAAAAACCTTTTAGATCTATCAGAGAACTGATGTCACAGTGCGAACTGTTGCCTTCAAAACAGGAGAGACAGACAGATATAGTGAATCACCACATACCAGAGCATTGACTCTAACAAACATTGACATTGTTTGTTAGAGTGCCAGTTCCAGCCCTGGTTACTCTACATCTAACCCAGCTTCCAGCTAATGTGCCTGAGAAGCAGTCGGTCATGTTAGTCCAAGTATTTGGGTCCCTGTCACCCATGGGGGAATAAGAGGATGGAGTTCCTGGCTCCGGATTTCACCCTTGATTGTCATCTAATCGTTTCCCTTCTTACCTCCTTCTCTTCGAACTTCGGCATCATATTGCTGAGCAAGGACTCATCGATGGTAATTTTGACCTAATGAAAAACATGCTTGTTAATGATGTAATTTCCGAGAACAAAATTCCATGTGGAGCCATACAATCATGAAATATTTGTTCTGAATCAAAGGTAAGGTATACAATGGAAACCCTGTAGGTAGCTTACCTCTGGCATATTTCTCTTCAAGTTCTCTGAGGATTTTTCTTTTTCAAATAACTGCACATAATAGAAATAAAACATGCATTGTGATTGCCATAGAAACACTGGACCAAACACTTAAAATATGAAAGGTTGAGCAAATCTATCTGGAGCTACCTCTATATTTGATGGAAAAGTGGTTGATCTAGGCTGGGGCCAGGAACTATGTCAAACACACAGAAATGAGGAACAAAGAAATGCCTCAAGGCATGAATGTTTTGTGGCATCACACCATTTCTGCTTAGGAGATAACGGAATACACTGAGCAAACAATGAGGGCAAAGCAAAGAAGGTGGTGTTCAAGTCACATGGCGCAAATGAAATGTTCTTCATAGATAAGAAAGGAAACCAAAACCAAGTGTCTCTCACTTCACCTAGAAAATTCTCTGTTCAGCATCAAGAGTGTCAGGGACTGCTTTACTTGACCTGATGTCTTGTTCATCTGATAATTTTCTCAGTTTTTCTTTGCAACTTGCAGGGTAATGCTGAATGCTTGCTTACTCAGGTCAGTCTTTTACATTTAAGACATTGTGTGATGGGTACAAGAACGCTGAATAGCACTCAGTAGAAGGGTCAGCCCCCAGGCTCACACAGTTGACTGTCAGTGTGGATAAGCGTGACATTTCACAGTGTTGCACGTGGGGCTGCACCATGTGTTGCACATCTTCTCTCTAGGAGTCCCAACAGGTCCTCACAGTGCTCATCAGAAAACAGGCCTCTCCTGCTTTCCCCAAAGGTAGGAGAAAGTAGCCCAGAGTCTTTCCTTCTCTTTGAAAAGGCCAGCCTTCTTGAAAATCTGTTTTCCCAGAGCCTAACTGCGATTTTTCCAGAAACTACATGACCACTGTGAAGGGAAATAGCCAACTCTCCCTCTCTCTACCCTTCCTAACCTGGAGGGAAAACCAGAATCACACTGAGCAGCACAGATGAACGTTGCAGGGCTCAGGCTCCGTGGAAGACTGAGCTGGTCAGGAACCCTGGGGCCCGATCACCACCACAGGGCTGCTCCATGGCCCCTGGAGCTTTAGGCTGAGGCACTGTGTGCCAATGTTATGGACTCAGGGATATCTCCTCGAGGACACAAGGGCACGGACAAGACAGGAAATCTTAGCTTCTGCCACTCTCCGTTGGAGTAAACAGAAAACAACCTAATCTGTAGTCAGACAAACCTAAAACCCCCACATACAAACTAGTTATTGACCTCAGTCCCTTTTAACCTGCATACGATGTCTGGGTTTGTTGAAGAATTAGAAGGCATACTAAAATACACCAATGGAAACAAAACCCACAGTTTGACAGAAAGAAAGCATTTAACTCACACTGAGCTATGGCATCAATGATAGAACGATCAGACTTGGAATTTAAAACCACTGATTAATATGGCCAAGACTCAGATGGAAAAACTGGGCATAATGCAAGAAGAAATAATCAGCAGAGAAAGAAAATTGTAAGACTCCAAAGAAAGGCAAGAAATCAAAACACAATAGCAGAATGAGGCATCCCTTTGATGGTTCACTATCAGGCCCAACACAGATGAGGAAAGAACCAGTGAATTAGGATGTCAGGGGGCCAGGGTTGTGGCCTAGTGGGTAAAGCCATTGGTTTGAGTTCCACATGGTCACAGGTCTGAGTTCCAGCTGCTTTCCTTCTGATCCAGCTCCCTGCTAATGGGAAAGCAGCAGAAAATTGCCCAAGTGCTTAGACCCCTACACCCAGGTGGGAGACCTGGAAGAAGCTCCAGGCTCTTGGCTTCAGCCTGGCCCATCCCTGGTCATTGCAGCCATTTGGGGAGTGAACCAGCAGATGGAAGACCTCTCTGTCTCTCTAATTCTGCCTTTCAAATAAGTAAGTTCAAAGAAAGGAAGGAAAGAAGGAAGGAAGTCCCCCCAAAAAAATGTAAAGAAGAAAAGGAGATGAAAAGCAACACAGGGAATCTAAGAACAGGACCTATTGGCATCTTTTTAAAGATTTATTCATTTGAAAGGCAGAGTTACAGAGAGACAAAGACAGAGACACAGAGAGAGAGAGGAGTCTTCCATCTGCTAGTTCACTCCCAAACAGCTGCAAAGGCTGGAGCTGGGCCAATCTGAAGCCAGGAGCCAGGAGCTTCTTCTGGGTCTCCCACCCAGATGCAGGGGCCCAAACACTTGGGCCATCTTCTACTGCCTTTTCAGGCCACGACAGAGAGCTGGATCAGAAGTGGAGCATCCAGGACTCAAACTGGCTCCCATAAGGGTTGCTGGCACTGCAGGTGGCAGCTTTACCCACTACACCACAGTGCCAGACCCTGAAACTATTGACATTTATTGCATACTTTAATCCCATAGGGCCAGCGCTGTGGCATAGCGTGTAAAGCCACCACCTAGAGTGCCGGCATCCATATGGGTGCTGGTTCAAGTCCAAGCTGCTCCACTTCTGATCTATCTCTCTGCTATGGTCTGGGAAAGCAGTATGAGATGGCCCAAGGATTTGGGCCCCTGCACCCGTGTGGGAAGACCCAGAGGAAGCTCCTGGCTCCTGGCTTCAGATCTGCACTGCTCTGGCCATTGCAGCCAATTGGGGAGTGAACCAGTGGATGGAAGACCTCTCTCTCTTTATCTGCCTCTCATTCTCTCTCTGTGTAACTCTGACTTTCAAATAAATAAATAAATCTTTTTTAAAAATTCCATAACAGAACAATACAGGTTCTTCCCAGGCTCATAAACATTCACAAGGTAGACAACACTCAGGGCCATAAAACACATGCTAAAAGTCATAATAGGAAATTTCCTCTCAGGCCACAGACTTAATCTACATTTCAGTAGTAGAAAGATAGCTGAAAACTTACAAACTATTTGGAGACTAAACGGCATAACTCTAAAGAACATGAGTCAAGGGAGTAATCTCTAAAGAAATACAGAAATATTGCAATGTAAATGAAGATGGGGTTTTAAACACTGGTGGGATGTAGGGAGAGTGTTGCTTCAATGAGGAGTAGTGCTAAATGCACTACTAAATGCTGAAAATTCCTCTTCATTTATAATGCAAAGTATGCCTGAATGGTATGGTAGTATACTCACAGCAAGTTTAGTTCTCCAGAAGAAAATCTTAAATGTAGAAATCCCAAGGAAAACACCGACAATCAACTTCTGGAAAATTCCCAAACAATGCAGACCGAAATGAAACCGGCACTGCGGAATCTCAACCATCTGTAAGATGACATCAGAAACAGTGAGAATCCTCAAACACATTACACAGTCGCAAGGGCTCACCCTTAGGACCCCTGAGCAAGCCTGCCAGGGGTCACCACACTCCTCAGGTCACTGCAGGGAATTCCACTGCCTCAAGAAACGTCACACTTGCCAGTCTCGCGTTTCCTGGGTGTCTGAGTGTGGAAAGTCATTGTGAAAGTGGGTGCCTTCACATAGAGAACCCAGGTCACCATGGGCCCTGCCCTCTCGGGGGTCTAACACTGCACAGAAACCCCCTTCATTGCACTTCTTTCTGGGATTCGTTGGTTTTCCTCATTTAAACATCAGCATCATTAAAAAAGTAGAATAGATAGGTAATTTTATTTAGAAAAAAGATAAGTTTTATTTATGAAATAAAACCAAGATGAAGATACCGAAAATGATGCTGAAGTGTGGGGTTTATTATTATTCTTGATATTAATTCTATTAGGCCTTCATGGGAATGAAAACAGAAATTCCCACAGAGTAAATTCTGACTGCTCTCCATGGATTGCTCTGGATTTAACTGCATGCTTTTCGAAAACTTAACACTTGAATTCTAAATGTGTCCTTCAAGATGATGGTTTAAAAAGAGCCAGTGATGCAAGTGTTATGCCAAGTCAGGAATGGAAGAAAATTAATTCCTGATTTATGAAACATGTGAGTGATTTTAGAAATAAGGTGTTGAGTAGAATAAGACAGACAAAAAGAATAAATATGGTATGCATGCATCTGTTTATACAAAATTCTAGAATAAACAAAGTTCATCTATGATATGGGCAGGAACTTACTGGGAAAAAGTAAGGGCAATTATTGGGGTGACTGTCATATTGTAGATCTTGAGAAGGTTTTTATATATTTTCCAAACAGTGAAACTTATACTCAATATTTATATGTTTTCTTCCATGTAACTTTTTTGGAAAAGAAAAATCTGTCAACAAATAGATAATTCTAGTTCGTGACAGTCATGCTGAACTACTTAGGAGGAAGTACAGTGATGTCTGTAATTCACTATGAAATATACTGAAACTAAGATGGACTGAGAGGGATGGATGATATGTGTAAATTCATGTTTGGTAAAATGTTAATCAGCCAATGCTATATGTCTGCACATTTTCATAACAAAATGGCAGTGCTAATTAGCAAAACCAGGCAAGTGATGGGGCTGTGTGGATGAAGCTGCCGCCTGCTACACCAACACCTTATACTGGAGCACTTTTCTCAAGTCCCAGCTGTCCCACTTCCAATCCAGTTCCCTGCCAATGTTCCTGGGAAAGAGCAGATGATGGCCCAAGTGCTTGAGTCCCTGCTGCCCATGTGGGAGACCTGGATGGAATCTCAGGCGCTGTGGCTCAGACCTGGCCCAAAACTTACTGTGGAGCCATTCAGGGAATGAATCAGCAGGTGGAAATTCTCTAACTTTGACTCTTCCTTCCTTTTTCTGTCACTCTGCCTATCAAATAACTCTTTTAAAAAATTACCAGAACTGGGGCTGCAGTGGGTTAAACCACCGCCTGCAGTGCCATGATCCCATATGGGTACCAGTTCTAGTCCCAGCTGCTGCACTTCTAATCCAGCTCTCTGCTGTGGCCTGCGAAAGCAGTAGAAGATGGCCCAAGGCCTTGGGCCTCTGCATCCACATGGGAGACCCAAAAGAAGCTCCTCGTTCCTGGCTACAAATTGGCCCGGCTCCAGCCATTGCAGCCCTTTGGGAGTGAACCAACAGAAAAAAGACCTCTCTCTCTTTCTCTCTGTCTCTGCCTCCCTATAACTCTGCCTTTCAAGGAAATAAATAAATAAATAAAAAGTCTTTAAAAAATTATCAGAACCAAGATGTCCTTTATGTCAGTGAATTTTTTTGAATAGGAGTTCCAAAAATGATTGAGATTGTTCATGCCTGAAGAATTATAGGTACAACACAATTGCATCTTTCTCCAGGTAATTCATTGTGGAGTTGCAAAATTCAAAGAGATATTAGGAAACCTCACAAGCATGTGAGTTTCTGAGTTTTTATTTTAAGGGTAAAGATAAATGGAAATACATTTCCTGCAACCCATTCCAAAATAAAGATAAGTAAATGGTGCTATATCCAAGGTAAAGAATCTACTCAGCCATGGAAAGGAACAAACTACTACTATATAAAAAAATAAGGATCAATATCGGGACATGCTGACTTAACTAATCCATAAAAACAATAAGAACACCCATCATGTTGAATTACCTTTTATAAAACAGGATAGACTGGGATCAATGAGTGGTTCAGGGAAGAATGGGAGGTGGGAGGGTAGAGGTCAGATGAGTTAACAAGGAGCAGAAAGAAATATCTAAGGATGGACGAGTTCACAGTCTAAATGAGATAATGGTTTCATTACTGTATGCATATGTTAAAAATGAATAAATTCAGGCAGGCGCCAAGGCTCACTTGGCTAATCCTCCACCTGCAGCGCTGGCATCCAAGTTCTAGTCCCCGTAGGGGCACCGGGGACTAGTCCCGGTTGCTCCTCTTCCAGTCCAGCTCTCTGCTATAAATTGTAATAGCTGGGGATCAGTGGAAGAGGTCAGGACAAGAGGACGGAGGGAGAAAATCAGATGGATGAACAGGGGCCAGGAGGAAATGTATGAGAGCGATGGGTGAGTTTACCATCTTGAATGATGTGACAATTTCATTACTGTATACAAATGTAAAAAACAAGTATATCCTATTCTTTGAAGAGCTACTGCTTACTCTACACAATTTTTCCAAATAACTTGTAGGAAAACTTTTGATACATAAGCTTACAGAGTTTAATTGTTCTGACAACACATGGAAAATCTGTCAAAATGGTTAATAGAATTTCACCTATGAACTTTTAAGCCAGTTTACAATCAATTAATAAATTGACTACAAACTTACTTTGGAGGTGAAGACAAGATCTTCTATTGGATGTTTGTGAAATGGTTGGTTAAATTGTTGTGTAACGAATTCAAAACTGTGGTCCAACTATATGGAAGAATAAGAAAACATTTACCAAATTTGCTACAGTATCAGTGGGAATAATTCATAGAGTCAAGTTCATGATTCTGAGTCTCTTCTATTTATTGTAATAGCTGGATATCAGTTTAGGAGGTCAGGACAAGAGGACGGATGGAGAAGATCAGATGGATGAACAGGGACCAGGAGGAAATATATGAGAGCGATGGGTGAGTTTACCATCTTGAATGATGTGACAATTTCATTGCTGAATACAAATGTAAAAAACAAGTATATCCTATTTTTTGAAGAGATACTGCTTACTATACTAATTTTCCAAATAACTTGTAGAAAAACATTTGATACATAAGCTTACAGAGTTCAATTGTTCTTGACAACACATGGAAAATCTGTTAAAATGCTTAATAGAATTTCATCTATGAACTTTTAAGCCAGTTTACAATCGATTAATAAATGAATACAAACTTACTTTGGATGTAAAGCCAAGGTCTCCTATTGAATGTTTGTGAAGTGCTTGTTTAAATTGTTTTGTAGCAATTCCAAAAATATGTTCAAATTATATAGAACAATCAGGATATATTTACTATATTTGCTAAGATATCAGTGGGAATTATTCACAGATACGTGTTTATAGATATGGGTGTGATTGGAGAGATGGAAATTTCTGTTAAAATCACACATGAGTTATTAAGCCCAACAGAAATTAAGCCCACTGGAGCCGCTATTGTGGCACAGAAGGTAGGCTGCTGCTTTCTGGCTGGCAACCCCTATGACAGCACCAGTTTTAGTCCCGGCTACTCCAATTCCAGTCCAGCTATTTGCTGATGTACCTGGGAAGGTAGCGATGATGACCCACAAACTTGGGCCCCTGCCACCCACATGGAAGACCTGGACGAAGCTCTAGTTTCCTGGCTTCAGCCTAGGCAGGCCCCAGCCATTGTGGCTTTTAGGAGAGTAAACAAGTAGGTCGATGATCTCTCCTCTCTCTCTCCCTCATTTCTCTCTCTCTCCCTCCCTCCCTCCCTCATTTCTCTCTCTCCCTCTCACTCTACCTTTAAAAATAAATACATAAATCTGAAATAAAGAAAATAAGCTCATCATGTCTGAGTCCCCCTTCTATGGAATGTAATAGACTAGGATCAGTGGTTCGATGGGGAATGGGAGAAAGGAGACGTTCAGGTGGATGAGCAAGGAGCAGGAGGAAATATTTGAGAGTTACGGATGAGTTTGCCATCTTAAATGAGGTAACGATTTCCTTGCTGTGCACAGTTGTTAAAAATAAATTCCAGCTGGCACCGTGGCTCAATAGGCTAATCCTCCGCCTAGCGGCACTGAGACACCAAGTTCTAGTCCTGATTGGGGCGCCGGATTCTGTCCCGGTTGCCCCTCTTCCAGGCCAGCTCTCTGCTGTGGCCCAGGAAGGCAGTGGAGGATGGCCCAAGTGCTTGGGCCCTGCACCCCTTGGGAGACCAGGAGAAGCATCTGGCTCCTGCCTTTAAGGACATACTGCTTACTGCACATTTACCAAACAATCTGTTAGAACTCTTTTTTTTTTTTTTTTTTTTTGACGGGCAGAGTGGATAGTGAGAGAGACAGAGAGAAAGGTCTTCCTTTGCCATTGTTCACCCTCCAATGGCCACCACGGCTGGCGCGCTGCGGCTGGCGTACCACACTGATCCAAAGGCAGGAGCCAGGTGCTTCTCCTGGTCTCCCATGGGGTGCAGGGCCCAAGCACTTGGGCCATCCTCCACTGCCTTCCCTGGTCACAGCAGAGAGCTGGCCTGGAAGAGGGGCAACCGGGAAAGAATCCCGTGCCCTGACCGGGACTAGAACCCGGTGTGCTGGTGCCACTAGGTGGAGGATTAGCCTATTGAGCTGTGGTGCCAGCAGAACAAATTCTGACACACAAGCTGAGCTGGTTTTATTTTTCTGACAAAAACATGGAAAATATGTTAAAATGGTTAATAGAATTTCACCTATGAATTTATAAGTCAGTTTATAATTGATTGACAAATAAATATAACCTTACTTTGGATGTGCAACCAAGATCTTTTGGATATACGGGAAATGGCCGGTTGAATAGTTTTGGAAAAAATCCAATAATATGGCCAATCTGTATGGAAGAATGAGAAAACCAGTTACAAAATGTGCTAAGCTGTCAATGGTAATAATCCATAGACATCCATTACACACATGAACATGACTGAGAAAGATGGGAACTGCTCTGACAGTTATACTTAGTTATTGTCCCAGCAAATATTAACCCATTCTGTCTGATTTCCTTCTATACATGTGATAGATTTGGCTGAGCAGTTTAGGATGGCAGGATGGAAAGATTTATCCCAAAAATTAAGTACGCATTATTGTTGAACCCAGATTTCCAAGAAAACCTGAAGTTTTCTCCAATGTTCACAATGATTCTGAACCAGCACACTTTGTGTGAAGTTTGGAAGTACACGAGGATTTGCAGGGTAAAGTGATGTGTGTTCCAACTGACACTATGAGAATCGAAGTTATTTAGAAACACAACTCCAAACAGCCACTAAGACTTCCTCTTCCTGACTCCTGGTATTGCACCTGAACCGATCAATGGTGGCAGGGGAGATCACTGTGTGAAGGAAGGCAACAAATTGGGAATGTTTGGTCACCATGACAAAAGGCCCGAAGGCGATGCACCCTGGAGGTGCAGGGCTACAGCCAGACCCCTCCTGGCAAGAAGCCAGGGAAAAACCAGGATTGTTTTTAAGGATGTATTTTGAGGCCTCCTACCTGGAGCTCATGGGGAGGCAGCGTAGGAGCTGCGTCAAGTAGATCAGGATAGTCCCTGAAGTGCCGCTTGCCATCTTCCCCATGTGCTGGGTGCGTTGCCGCTCTTGCTCACCCTTTGCTAGAGCTACACGGCCACCAGCCATCTCAGGAAATGGGGACGGAAGGGGCGCTTCTGCTGCCCCACAGTTCCAGGACATAGTCTGGAGTGAGGTGGAGGTGTGAGCAGCTGGAACACTTCCACCCATCACAACATGCAGAGCAACGATGTTTGGGTGTTCCCAGACAACTTTTACTTCCTCAACCCTATAGAACCGGAAGCTGCCACTGAAATAGGGCCTAGTATTAGGGCCGCCTTTTCATTTTTTATTTTTTTGCCCTTTTCTATCTTCCTCGAATATGAAAATATACTTTTTTAAAAATAAAAGATTCATCTATGGGGCTGGTGTCATGGCATAGCAGGTTAAACCTCCACCTACAATGCCAGCATTCCAGTTGAGTCCCGGCTGCTCCACTTCTGTTCCAGCTCCCTGGTAATGTGCATGGGAAAGCACAGGAAGATGGTCCAGGTGTTTGGCCCCCTGTCACCCACATGGGAGACTCAGTTGAAATTTCAGGCTCCAGGGGCCAGCACCGTGGCTCACTTGGTTAATCCTCCACCTGCAGCGCCGGCATCCCATTTGGGCACCGGGTTCTAGTCCCGGTTGCTCCTCTTCCAGTCCAGCTCTCTGCTGTGACCTGAGAGGGCAGTGGAGGATGGCCCAAGTGCTTGGGCCTCTGCACTCACATGGGAGACCAGGAAGAAGCACCTGGCTCCTGGCTTCGGATCGGTGCAGGGCCGACCATAGTGGCCATTTGGGGAGTGAACCAACAGAAGGAAGACATTTCTCTCTCTCACTGTCTAACTGGAAAGGGAAAGGGAAAGGGAAAGGGAAAGGGAAAGGAAAGGAAAGGAAAGGAAAGGAAAGGAAAGGAAAGGAAAGGAAATTTCAGGCTCCTGGCATTGGCCTGACTCAGCACTGGCCTTGCGGCCACTTTGGGGAGTAAACCAGCAGATGGAAGATCTGACTCTCCCTCCTTCTCTGTTATTCTGCCTTCAAATAAATAAACCTTAAAAAAATAGAATAACGACAACAGCAAAAATATTAATTTATTTGTTTGAAAGAGTGACAGACAGGTAGAGACACATAGAGAGAGAGAGATCTTCCCAATTACTGGCTCACTCCCCAAACATCCACAATAACCAAAGCTAAGCCAACTGGAGTCCAGGAGCCAAGAAGTCCATCACAGTTTCTCATGTCAGTGACAGGAACCCAAGTACTAGGGCCACCATTTGCTGCCTGCCAGGTACATTAACAGGAATCTGGATTGGAACCATGGAGTAGACAGACTTGAACGTGGCACTATGATATGGGATGCAAGAGTTCCAAGTTCCAGTCCTGCTCCTTCTCCCTCTTTCTCTCCTACACATAGAGGGTATGGTTTTATTTATTTATTTTTTAAAGACACTGCCTTCTGGGAGCATGTGGGACAGTGGCTTTTTTTTTTTTTTTTTTTTTTTTTTTTTTTACAGGCAGAGTTAGACAATGAGAGAGAGACAGAGAGAAAGGTCTTCCTTTTGTTGGTTCACCCCCCAAATGGCTGCTAAGGCCGGTGCGCTGCGCCGATCCGAAGCCAGGAACCAGGTGCTTCCTCCTGGTCTCCCATGCGAGTGCAGCGCCCAAGCACTTGGGCCATCCTCCACTGCCTTCCCGGGCCACAGCAGAGAGCTGGACTGGAAGAGGAGCAACCGGGACAGATCCCGGCGCCTGAACCGGGACTAGAACCTGGGGTGCCGGTGCTGCAGGCGGAGGAGTAGCCTAGTGAGCTGCGGCACCGGCTGAGGCTTATGATTTTATAAGACAGAATGAAGACCTTCCCAGCAGGAATCTGGCCTTTCTTTAAATTTGGACAATCCTAAGGACAGTAAGGATCCTTTCCCACATGGCTGAATCGACAGCCAGCACATGACCTGGTTCACAAAAGGAAGGACTACAACCCCTCCCACTCCTGGGCAGGTCACTCCTAGTGACTGCCCCATAAGCAGTGTCCCAGGAGGATGCAGCCACTCATTGTCCCAACTGATGGGCATCTCAGGTCCCCTCTAAGCAGGCTGGGAACAGAGTCCCTGGGGGCAGCCTCCAAGAGCAGAGGGGAGGGAGGACTCAGAAGTTGCTGAAAGTCAACACACCAAGTAACACAAAGCACAGGTGACACTTCACTCCTAGCAAACTGGTACCAACACCAGTGACTCAGTGCCGCTGCTCTGGGGCTGCCAAGCTTTCACACACATGGGTGGTTCCTCACTAGGGAAACAGCCCGCACGGCAGGGAACAAAAGCTTGCGACACTTGAGGGCCTGCCTAGGGCCTCCAGGAGCCAGGCTTGTTCCCATGACTCCTATGCCATCACAGTTGCCCGTGTTGGTAAAACTACTTTAATGAGACACAATCCCATACCATATAGTTCCCACCAAGATAGCACATGGCTTCTGGTCTATTCACTAATCCTTCCCTTTTGAGACTATGAGGTTGCTTTTTTTTTTTCTTTTTCTTTCTTTTTTTTTGAAAGCTTTTATTTAATGAATATAAATTTCATAGATACAGCTGTTTAGAATATAGCAGTTCTTCCCTCCATACCCGCTCTCCCACCCCCATTCCTGTCCCACCTCCTACTCCCTCTCCCATCTCATTCTTCATTAAGATTCACTTTTAATTATCTTTATATACAGAAGACCAACTCTATACTAAGTAAAGATTTCAACAGTTTGCACCCACACAGGCACACCAAGTGTAAAGTACTGTTTGAAGACTACCGTTAATTCTCATAGTACCACTCATTAATGACAGAGATCCTGCATGGGGAACAAGTGCACAGTGACTCCTCTTTTTAACAGTTGACACTCTATTTATTACGTCAGTGATCACCCAAGGCTCTTGTCCTGAGCTTCAAAGGCTATGGAAGCCTTTTGATACACAAACTTCGATGTTATTTAGAAAAGGCCATAATCAAAGTGGAAGTTCTCTCCTCCCTTCAGAGAAAGGTACCTCCTTCTTCATGAGGTTCCTACTTCAGGATCCTAGCCTGTCAGCCTTTCCCGCCCCTGGCCCAAGCCAAAATGGATGTCACAGGTGTAATCAGAGCCTGACCAGCCTGGTCAAGACATAGGCTGAGGCCCCTGGGCTGTCAAGAGCCCCTGAAAAGGCTCTTAGGTAAAGCACAGGGTGACACAGCCCCACCGAAGGAAGACACCACGGCGCTTCCTGCGTTTACTCACATTCCTCTTGGCGCTGCTGGGAAACCCCAGCACCAGGATCCAAAAGAGCCACCTCCTCACCTCCATGTCCTGGTCCCCTCAGGGTGCCTGGGCGGCCAGATAGGAGGTGGGGATGGTGAAGGGGAAGGGGGAGGGGAAAGGGAATGAGGATTTGGGAAGGGGAGGGTGTGGCAGGGAAGAGGGGTACTGAGGAGGTAAAGAGGAGGAAGAGGACAAGGGAGTCAGGAAAGTGTCTCGGTCAAATCAGGTGTAGAGGCAGGAAGTAGGGTTCAAAGCTAAGTCACTGGGAGTTGGTCCACAGACCAGACACATGCCAAGTGTGCGTCACTCAGGAGTAGGTGGAGGGACACGGACAAGGGCTCCGTCTTCCTCCGGGTCTTCTCCTGTCTGGAGATCACCTTACCAACCCCAGACTTTATACTTACTCTCTCAACCAATCCCCTGCCTTTGCCTTGCTGTGTCACAATGCAAGCCCCACCCACTCCTAGAATGCCCCTCCCCCACACTGACCGCATGCGGGGGGCTGAACCCCTGTCTCAACGGCTATTATCCAAAAGTCAGAGAGCAAGAAATGCCTGCAAGGATGAAGAGAAAGGCAGACTTACATGTTGTAGGTGGGAATTTGAATTAGTGCAGCAACTGTGGAAAACGGGCAATTTCTTAAAGAACTAGAAATAGACCTGGCATATGATCCATCAATCCCACTACTGGAGATATACCAAAAAAAAAAAAAAGAACTTATTTTATGAAAAAGATACCTGCTCCACCATGCTTATGGCAACACTGTCCACAATAGCCAGATATGGACTCAACCAGATGAATAAACAAATAAAGTGTGGCACATATATAATGAATATTCAGCTAGAAAAAAGAATGAAATTCTATCTTTTGTAGCAGAATGATTGAAACAGAAGGACATCATGTTAGTGAAATAAGCCAGATACAGAGAGACAAGTATCACATGTTCTTCCTTATGTGTGGGAAGAAAATTAAAAAGAAAAAAACTCAAAAAAATGCCCATGTGTATCAGTTTTGCTGCACAGTGTTCTGTCAAATTGCCTTTCAAATCTTTGTCAAACTGATAGGAATTATTTATTACTATAATTTTGATGATTTTTATTGACATTTTAACATTTTCATTTGACTGTTTAGCCCTTACCTATTTTCCTGGTGGATTGTGGACTTTACATTTAATTTATTGAAGCATTTATTTAGTAGAGCCATTAAGTCTTTGATTGTAATGTAATAAAAATATGTTATCTCAAAAAAACTTTTTCATGTAATGACATTGTCCACTGAACTTTCCCAGGAGTGGGCATTATGGAGGGCAGCTAAGCCTTGGCAAGGGGAACGCCAAGAGTGAAGCCAGCCTAGCCTTCAAAAACATCTGGGCCTCCTGGAGAACAAGAAAGAGCCCAAGGCTGGTGTGGTAACATAGCAAGCTAAGCTGCCACCTGCAATGCTGGCATCCCACATGGGAGCACGGGTCTGAGTCCCAGCTACTCTGCCTTGGCTCCAGCTGTCTGTTAAATATGCCTGGGAAGGCAGCAGAATATGGCTCAAGTATTTCATCCTCTGCTACACACGTGGCAGACCTGGATTGAGTTCTTTACTCCTGGCTTCAGCCTGGTCCACCCCTGGCCATTGCAGCCATTAAGAGAGTGAACTAGCAGACGAAAGATCTCTCTCTCTCTCTCTCTCCCTCTCCTCTCCTCTCTATTTCTCCCAATTAAAAATAAATATTAAAAAAAAAAGATTATGGGTTTAGCACTGTGGCGTAGCAGGAAAAGCCGCTGCTTGCAGTGCCACCATCCCATATGGGCACCAGTTTGAGTCCCTGCTGCTCCACTTCCCATCCAGCTCTCTGCTATAGCGTAGGAAAACAGTAGAAGATGGCCCGAGTCCTTGGGTCCCTGCATCCATGTGGGAGATCTGGAGGAGGCTCCTGGCTCCTGGCTTTGGATCTGTGCAGCTCCGGCCATTGCAGCCAGTTGGAGAGTGAAGTTGGAGAGTGAAGTAGCAGATGGAAGACCTCTCTCTCTTTCTCTCTCTCTCTCTGCCTCTCTGCGTAACTCTTTCAAATAAATAAATAAGCTTTTTTAAAAAAAAACCATCAAGTATAGAAATGTTATTTAAAAAAATATTAAAAAGGGTGGCAGTTGTAGTCCCGGCTGCTCCACTTCCAATCCAGCTCTCTGCTGTGGCCTAGGAAAGTAATAGAAGATATCCCAAGTCCTTGGGCCCCTGCACCCACGTAGGAGACCTGGAAGAAGCTCCAGGCTCCTGGCTTCAGATTGGCACAGCTCTGGCTGTTACAGCCATTTGGGGAGTGAACTAGTGAATGGAAGCTCTCTCTGTCTCTCTGTCTCTGTCTCTCTTTCAATCTGTCTCTGTAGCTCTGCCTTTCAAATAAACAAATCTTAAAAAAAAAAAAAAAAAAAAGAGGAGGAGGAGGAGGAGGAAGCGCTGCAGAAGCTAAGAAAATTGAAACAGTAGTCAGAGCTCCATCTGCTGGATTTTCAGGAGAAGCAACAATATAAACCTGTTCTTTTTTTGACACCAAAAAGAAAGTTCAGCAGTATGATGTTGCAATTCAGCAGCAAATAGCCCCAGAACTAGTTGACAGAGTCTTTAACAGACCCAGGATAGAAACCTTGCATAAGGAAAAAGTAGAAGAAAAAGATTGATTTTATTTATTTGCAAGGCAGAGTGACAAAACAGAGATATTTTCCATTCTCATGTTCACTCCCCAAATGGCCCTAACAGCAGGCCTGTGCCAGGCTAAAGTCAGAGCCTAGAGCTCCATCTGGGTCTCCCACATGGGTGGCAGGGACCCAAGCACTTGGGCCATCTTCTACTGCTTTCCCAGATGCATTGAAAGGGAGCTGGGTTGGAAGTGGAGCAGCCATGGCACAAACCAGCACCCACATGGGATGGGATGGTGACATTGTCACAGATGGTAGTTTAACCTCTTCTGCCACAACACTGGCCCAAATCAACTTTTTATACTATATAAAATGAAGGGGAAAAGGTAATCAACTTCATCTTTCAGCACCTATAGCTTTTTTTAAGATTTATTTTTATTTGAAAGAGCTCCAGAGAGACAGAAGGAGGGAGGGAGGGAAGGAGGGGGGGGAGGGAGAGAGAGAGAGAGAGAGAGTCAGTCTTCTATCTGCTGGTTCACTCCCCAAATGGCCACAATGGCCAGAGTTGGGCCAATCTGTAGCCAGGAGCCGGGAGCTTCTTCCAGGTCTTCCATGTGGGGCAGGGGCCGAAGCACTTGGGCCATCTTCTGCTGCTTTCCCAGACCATAGCAGAGAGCTAGATTGGAACTGGAGCAGCCAGAACAGGAACCAGTGCCCATATGGGATGTACCCAGGGTGTGCACCAGCAAGAAGCTGAAATCAGAAACGGAGTTGGGATTCAACCTAAGCACTCTGATAATGGGATGCTGGTGCCCCAAGTGGCATCTTAATTGAGCCCCGACTGCCTGCCCCAAGTATTACTTCTCAATCAGAAAAATATGTTTTAAGAGATAAGATAATTTTTTCTAAATAATTGTTTTGTTGCTTCTTAAAGCACAAATTACAGAAAAAATTTTTAACAGGTTTTTGGAATGCCAAGAGACAGGTACCATCCCTTTCACCTCTTAATCACAGTTAACTTGTCCCACCTGCCTCCAACACTTCCCCATGGAAGTCCTCCAGTGACAGAGTGAAGACTGATCAAAACAGCCACGGGCCTCAGAGTGTGCCATCCCCCTATTTTCCTGTAAATGTCCCTAGTATCTTTTTTTCTAATGTTTATTTACTTAGTCTCACCTACTGGAAAAGCAGAGAGACAGAGATCTTCCATCCACTGGTTTACTCTCCAAATGCCTGATGGGCCAGGCTGAAGCCAGGAGTCAGGAGCTCCATCCAAGTCTCCCACAGGGTGGCAGGGACCTGAGCACTTGGGCCATAATGCGCTGCCTCCCAGAATGCATTGAGAGGAAGCTGGACTGGAAGTGGAGCAGTTGGAACCAAGGGGCACCTCAACGTCTGCCGTGTGAACAATATCTTTTTTTAAAAAAAGAAGTTTATTTTTATTTATTTGAAAGATAAAGTTACAGATAAAGGTAGAACCAGAGAGAGAGAGACAGAGAGGCCTTCCATCTGCTGGTGGTTCACTCCCCAGATGGCCGCAACTGCCGGAGCTGCGCCGATCTGAAGCCAGGAGCCAGGAGCCTCCTCCGAGTACAGGGGCTCAAGGACTTAGGCCATCTTCCTCTGCTTTCCTAGGCCATAGCAGAGAGCTGGGTTGGAAATGGAGCAGCAGGGACTCGAACCGGCACCCATATGGGATGCCAGCGCTGCAGGCCAGGGCTACACCACAGCTCCGGCTCCATGAACAATATCTTGATTGTCTTTCTTTTCTGGTTTTATTTTTAAAATCATCCAAAGTTCTTTTTGTGTTTGGTTTGCCATCACTAAAATAGGAATAATTCCTCCAAATAACTCAAACTGTTCTGAATTATTCACAATTCAAGTATGTAAGACAATAATGCTGGTCATGATACCATTCCACTAAACATGAATATTGGAAACATTTTGGTACATTTTCTCACCCTGCTTTTTTAGTGAATGGAGTGTTCCTTTTTCATTTTTTTAACTTAGTTATCTTTCTCAAATTTTCGTTATGAAATGATCTTTTAAGGATTTATTTTATTTATTTATTTGGAAAGCAGAGTTAGAGAGAGGGGAAGTAACAGAATGAGAGAGACAGAGACAGAGAGAACACTTACATTCACTGGCTCGCTCCCCAAATGCCTGCGATGGCCAGAGCTAGGCTGGGCCAGGGGCAAGCCAGAAGCCAGGGACTCCATCTGGGTCTCTCACATAGGTGCAGGAGTCTAAGTACTTGGGCCATCCTCTACCACTTTCCCAGGCACATTAGTAGGGAGCTGGATTGGAAGTGGAAAAGCCAGACTCAATGGGATGTTATGTCACAGACAGTTGCTAAACATGTTGTGCTACCCTGCTGGCCCCATGAAATTACTTTTATGAAGAAAAAAGCTATTGTTCTTAAAAGGACACACTTATTCTTATTGCTTAAAGTTAAAAGTTACATGGAGGTGATTTAAATAGGGTTGTTATATTTAGCAAACAAAAATATAGTGTATCTACTTAGTTTAATTTCAGACACTGAATTTTTTTAGTGTAAGTATGTCTCATGCAATATTTGTGATCTATTTAAAGTAAAAAATTATGCAGTTTATCTGAAATTCAAATTTAATTAGATATTCTGTATTTAATCTGAAGGTTCTAGGTTTAATGTATTGCAATAGCTTGGTGGTTATTAAAGTCTATTAAAGTGCTTTTTTTTTTTTTTTTGCTAAAGATTTATTTATTTATTTGAAAAGCAGAGTTACAGAGAAGCAGAGGCAGAAAGAGAGAGAGAGAGGTCTTCCATTCGCTGGTTCACTCCCCAGATGGCTGCAACAGCCAGAGCTGCAGAGATTAAAAGCCAGGAGCCAGGAGCTTCTTCCGGGCCTCCCACGCAGATGCAGGGGCCCAGGGACTTCAGCCAACTTCCTCTGCTTTTCCAGGCGCATTATCAGGGAGCTGGATCAGAAGAGGAGCAAGCTGGTACTCGAACCGGTACCCATATGGGATGCCAGCGTTGAAGGTAGAGGCTTAACCAGCTATACCGCAGCACCAGCCCCCCCAACCAAAGTGCTTTATAAAACACTGCTGCCCTCCATCCACAGAACTGTTGGCTCAGTAGGTCTTGGTGGGACTTCGTAATTTACATTTCTAACTGTTCCCAGGTGCTACTGGTTGGGGAGTGCACATTGAGAGTAGCTTTCATTTAGAAGTGACACCTGGGTCAAAATAGCATAAGGTGAAATGCACTGAGGAAATACGTAGTTTTTAATTGAAACAGAAGCTACTGTAGGCTCCTGCACCCACATGGGAGACCTGGAAGAAGCTCCTGGCTCCTGGCTTCAGCCTG